GGACTTTCTTGTTTTCCTTTCTACGTTCGTCATGTCTTGCCCCAGTAGTAGCCGGATGGCGCTAAAAATGGCAAACGTGGAACGACTCTGGAGTGGTTAAACCATTAATCCAGAGATCGGGAGACTGACAGTTCTAGTCCCGCCTAAGGCACAAAGCCAGCTGGGTAACCTTGAGTTAGTCACTTGCTCTCTCAGCCCTAGGAAGGAGGTTAGGGCAAAGCACTTCTGAAAACCTTGCCAAGAAGATCTTTCCCGGAGCTCTCTGAGAATCGGACACGACTGAACACGGAGACCGAGCGAGCCAGCAAGAAAAAATGTAGAAACCCGCATAACAGAAATGAGCAAGGACGGTTGGGTGGCGTATAAAACACAACGTAGGACGTCCAAAGAAGAAAGGATTCTAGGATAGCGCAAGCGACGCGCCTTCTCCTTACCAACCAAATCCTAACCACTTAGGCGGCAACTGTAGCCCTCGATTTCCGAGGAAAACGGCTGCAATGTTACGCTCTAGTCTTTAGGAGCCTGGATCTCCTGTCTGAATGGACTACGGCTGCCATCATTCCCTACCCCAGCACCATCATGCGTGGGAATGGTCGAGAACAGAATCCAAAATATCTAGAACGCGTCAAAATGACGGTAAAAAGGTTCATGGGAGTAAGGTGGATTTCCTCCCCTCTTTTAACAATTAAATATATACTCCACCTTTCTATCTAAGATTGTTACCCAATCAGACAATAAAAATAAAATAAAATATGCCTTAGGGCACTATATACCTCATGTAATCATGTTAACAACTAACCCTTAGTCTAGGAATCGTTCATTTCTCAAGAGTTTCTGAAATTCTTGTATATTTCTTTCCGTGATGGTGTTGAAACGTAAGCACGCTTTATAAAACGCATAAACATTATTTACACGATAGGAGTTCCGTCGAGCCGGGGCTGTTTTGTCACCAGATGCTTTCCAGATGGATTAGGCTTCAGGGTTCAGAAAAGCCACAGTGGTAGGGAATGATGCAAGTTGAAGCCAACACCGTTGGAAATGTATTGCAACTTTCCCTTATACATGAGGCCACGTGAAACATTACCGGGCCGAACTGAACCCGCTTGTCTAACCTTATGAAAGCCTCCAGCTCAAGTCACTGCTCCTTCGGTGCTAAAAGTCTGTCCTTCAGGCCTTGTCCCATGTACCCTGAAGCCTGGCAGGAAAGAGCTGCCCGCTGGCACGCCAGATTCCTACCTGAAGCAGGTGGGACCCCAGTTCACGACCAACGTTGTCCAGAGTGCTGGTTCGACTTGTGTGGCCCCAGGCCTCCCCGAGTCCTGTCGAGACAAAATGCATGAGAGAGGGAAGGAAAGGGAGTGGGACAGGGAGGGAGAGAGAGAGGGGGAGAGAGGGAGAGAAGGAAGGAGGGAAAGGAAGTCCAAGGTTGTTCTCTGTCTTTGACGGACCCTAAACATCAAGTGTTGGACTGGCAGGGAAGGGCATCGCGAGAATGTTGTCAGCATTTTTCTAGGGACTGTATTTTACGGCTCAAAGAACAGAAAAATGGTGTAGGATCAATCCTCTGCTCCTCTCTCTCTCTTGCATCACCCTACTCCCCTTCCCATCCAATCCACACACACCAGTACTACTCGGCGCATCTTTGTGGTATTCCTCTCTCAGGACTGCCCCGAATATCTGAGGCGATCCGGAATCTTCTGCAACGGATGTGCTAATAAACGCTTTCGACTTCTAGATATCACAGGTCTCCTGGTCGTCGTAATTTATGAGGGTGTTTCTTAAATTAGCGGACCCATAATGATTGAACAGACAACTTCCGTCGTCCGCAGACAGAGCGATAGCTGGGAGCCATGGGGATTGTCGTCCTTTCCGTGCGTGGGCTTGGAAAAATAGCTTTTCCGACGAGTGTCATCCTGTTACACTACAATCTTTCCACCACCTCAATGTACAAAGGAGTAAATAGTCCCACCCAAACCGCTACTTTGAAATTGAAGCGGTTTATTTCGCTATTACTGTATCGTTTGCTCAATAAACCCAAGATCAAAGAGTAATTTCCCTCCAAAGTCTAGAATTAATATTTCAAAGAATCGAAACACAGCGGTTTGGCCATTTGAGCCCTGAAGTCTTTCCCGCTCGCTTATCTCAAACCACATCCTTGGGCCTCCCAAAATTAGGAGGGCCGAAACTGTAGCAAACAAGCCGTGGCGACCCGAAGACCCTGCAAGCACCACTGGTCCGCTGCGAAGACTTCACTTTAGACGCGAAGAAAGTCTAACCGTAATAAATCCCCAGCCTTCGTGTTCAAGCTCGGGGGAAATCGGCCTCCCAGAGGCTAATAATATTTTCGTCGATTAGTGATGGCGGAGCAATAAACAATAAGAGGCTGACAATAAGAAAAGGCACTTTTTAAAATCTTCCTCCTGTCCCGTTGAATGGGGGGGGGGGGTGTTCTCCGCTGAGTGAAGCTCCTGGGGAATTCGCGGATAGTTAAGGAAGAGGCTGGGTGTCACTACTTTCTTCTGGGGGCATCTAGTGACTTCCTAGTCTAGTGGAATCCAAACCCGAGCTTCTACCGTCGTTAGTCCCACCTTGTTCAGTTTTTATGCCCAGACAACGCCAGCCAGGATCGGCTTGGTAAACCACCCAGCCCAGTAAACGCATTGCTGATTCCTTGTTTCTAAAACTTCGAAGAGTGCCCAGCCCTGATTCCATCGTTTTTGCTTCAGATTCCAAAGCGGTTCTCTTGGATTCTAGAAAAATAATTATTCGGCTCTAACCCACCCCTACCCCGCGACAGATAAACGGGATAGTCTTATACAATCTCTCTCTATCTCTCTCTCCCTCCCTCTCTCTCTCTCTCTCTCCCTCCCTCTCTCTCTCTCTCTCTCCCTCCCTCCCTCTCTCCCTCTCT